ATGAGATTTGCGATATTAAGCTCGTTTGATCAAGATTCTTTATTTGGTAATTACATCCAGACCCATCATTTTGAAAATTAAGAGTTCTTGTTTTTTTGTGCCTTACATTTTTGAAGGTATTTTTAATGGTTAAAAAACAAATTAATGAAGTTGTATGTTTAACAAATAACAGTCAAAGATAATTCTTACTTGAACAGTATTATAAATATAAAGAGAAAAAATAGTATGTTATCCCTGTAACGTAAAAGCTGCTTAACTGAACAATTAAATGTCGGTTTAAACATGTCAATTATTCTTATGATTTTGAGAAATATTATTAACATCTTTTGGAGCCTGTTTTTTTACTGTGTTTCTTATATTCATCTTAATTGAAATCATAATATAATTCAAGATAAAATGAAAGCATTTCATACGGTTGCATATAATTGCTTACATCCACTTCATTTGAACTTTGGTGGATAGTTGTCTCATTGGCAATCGTACCACATCTCCTTATTTTTATACTGATATCATTTTGTTTGTTTGTAACGCATGTATACGGTGAGTATAATACAGTGACATAAAGTTATCCTGCTCTGTGTAAGAAAAGAACATGCATAAAACACAATAACCTGAGGTCATTCCCCTTTGTCTAGGATAAGTACACGTATAACACACAATGACCTCTCTCTCTCTCTCTCTCTCTCTCTCTCTCTCTCAAAATGTAAAATAAAAACAAAACAAAAAACTCAGATTTCCTCCTTTATAAAACACATATAGGATAAGAATAACCCAATGCACTGATGTCATCTGCCTTTCCTACAAAGGATAAGAATGCGCATAAACAAAACTACCTGAGGTTATTCCCGTTTATGTGGAACACAATGACCTCAGTGCATCCCCTTTTGTACAGCATATATGGTAGTATGCTACTTCAGAACCACCTTGTCCATTTTGAACCAAAATTTGCCCTTTGGAGGACCTCTTGTACAGTTGTATCCGATGACCATGACCAATATCAAATATGGGTGGTGTGACCTCTGGTTCGGCGACACATATTAAACCTATCAGAACCTGCTAGTTTAGTTTGAACTAGTGTTAGTAGGAATGTTCAGGTGACCCAAAAACATTTTAAAACGGTCACCACTGTCATGGTTGTGCCATTTTCAACTCTTTCCCAGGAATGGCTACTACATATCTTGACTTCAATCTAGAAATTGAAATTAAGAGTCTATTAAGAACAAAAGTGATGATTAAAGCTTCCCTTTCTATGTAACCCTAAACTTGTTGTTACATTTAATATTCTGATAATCATATTTTCCCCATGAATTATCGTTTTAAACTGTTGCCATTGATACATATGTGGGTATTAGATATGCGAGGCAAATTTTATTCATATTTGCAGAGTAGGTTTAGGCTAAGCTTGTTTTGCTTTAATAACTATGAAAGGTTCATTAAGCTTTACAAATATTTTACTTTAGAAATCAAGCATTGAAACAAAGTCCGAGTTGCAGCCTTTTTGACCAGCCCCAGCAACAATACAGTATAAATCTGGTTCAACATAAATGACTTACTGTTAGTCAGCTTTAGAGAAAATGCGATCATATTCTTTATCACAGACATTTCAATCTCAATCAGCCCCAGAGACACAGTAAGTTTCAGTGACGATGACTTCCCAATCAACTTGATCAGAGGCACAACAGCTACAGGACTTTCTGCAAATAAGACACTGCCATCTCATATATATTAACGACATTCTATATCATCTTCAAAGAAAATACTTACTAATACGATAAGCTTTTTAATCAGCATTGAAGACTAAGTCTCTGTTCTTTTCAGTGACTTGGCCTCACCCAGCTTCAGAACAACAGTTTAAGTCATCTTTATTCGAAACATTTCCTTGATCAGTCCTGTTGTCACGGGTAAAGCTAAGTTTCAGTGTTAATTCAATATCAGTTATCAAAGTCAGCTTCTCAGTCATTTTCAGACTTACAGACTTTCTGTGCAACTACATGTATAGATTTTGATTAATGGAACAGAAAAATTGTAAATACCCTTACCACATTTGAGCATATTAAAAAATAAAATAACAAAAATACCGAACTCCAGGCATATCAAACTGAATGTTCATCTGTCGTTTTTGTCTGTTTTAACATGCATGTTCTAAATATATTTTTATCGTTATATTTCGCATGGGATCGTTCCATTTATAACAGGAGACGCTTACCATGTCGACGCACCTGGTCTTAATTGCTTCGTTTGGAGGTTTTGAAATTCCCTCAGTTTTTGTTATCCTCGTTTTTATATATAAATTAAGGCGACAGTACTTAGTTTACCGATGTTTAAATTTCGTAAATCGATTAAAGAGTATCGAACATATCTAATCTGTAGCATCTGGAAATGTTTCATGTAATTTTACATTAGTCATATGGGTGGTGGGGTATTTGGTGCTTTAAAAAAGAATTCGTATTAGTTTTCTTGCACAGCTATAAACCAATTGTATTATAATGGTATGTAGAATACTATGTATGAAGTTAAATATAAACTTAAACTACAAATACTAGTATTCAATGGTACTATACACGCCGCATTATTGTCAATCGGGAATAGCACTGTGACAATCCAATCATCATGGTGGAATTATTAATTTGCCACTCCCTGTGTTGATTCGTAATTAATGTTGTAGTACGTGCTTTATAGAGAGATGAGGGCATAATTATTTAACTGTAAAGAAATATGTTTTGACCTATTGCAATGACTCAAGGTCGGTTTACCTATCAATTCCGCTACCAGTTCGTTTTGCTATCAATTCCCCTACATAATATGAGGATGTATCATCCCCCTTGAGGAGTAGGCCTTACAATAACATCCGTCGTTATTTATTTTCAGGTGTCACTGCGGCGGCGATTGTTTTCGTATTTGCCAACCAAATTTGTAGAAAAATTTAGCTTTTTTAGTATTTAAAGAATAACGTTATTAAAGCCTGAGACTTGCCTAATCAAATGATATATTCGGTTCAGCATGGGAAAATATAAAAAAGGTTTACGCAGACAGCCGTTTTCACGGCGTCATTGTCGTTGTTAATTGATTGATTGACTGTTTGTTGCTTAACGTCAAGTGGCAAATATTTCATGCATGTTCAGGACGAGAACAAATTAACAATAAATATGTAGGTCCTGTAGGTTGACTGCCACTGAAAAATTAGTGTATGTTAGATAGGGACATAAATTACGAACCTCTCAAAGATTTGTATTAAGGGTTCTTAACGTGCATTCTCTTTACACGATGAATCGGATTTAACGTCCCCATTTTAATCGAACGTTGCTGCGTAACTTTACATCCCGCACAGCCAAACAGACACCCCCACTTTTGCAAGGATTTTACTCCCGGTTGAAAGAAGACCAAAAATGACCATATTTCTACTCCCCAGTCACCCTTGGGGTTGCAAAAATTAAGATGTTTGTCAAATGCCTAGTAATGACAACATGACGCAAACCAATATATTTTGACCGAAGTGCTCTGTTGACTTTTTATAAGAGTTTTGTACCCTTTAATATTCTACATAAGCTGTTTTCTAGAATAACTTTTTAAACATGCATATTATCAACATGGGTTCTTTTCATTTGAAATACATGAAGTTTTACCTTGAAATTACAAGCAAGATTACGGGCCAATTTGATGTTCTTGATCTGATATTTGCTTGTTAATCTTATTCCACTGAAATTGTAAGAAATAGACAAAGACAGAAATGGAACAAAATGTTTGGGAAATTGTGACGAATGTTTGATACATTTTGTGTAAAACAATCCGCTAACACCTATTGAAGGTGTTGCCCTTTGGATAATTAAAATAATGATTTATTGTTTTTTTCTATCCCTTTTTGGCTTAAAGCTCCCACGTGTTTTGATACTTATACATACTTGGCTATTAAATGTTTGCCTTTATGTGTTCCTAGTAAAATTATATTGAAACCATGTTTTTTTTTTGTACCTGTGTAAAGAAACCATATATTTGACTCCTGAAGTGACTTTTTAAAAACCGAAAGTAGCAATTTATCTCCCTTATTTCATAGAAAGATACAATTATTAATATATTTTTAAATTAGTGTAAGATAAACTTTTTCGTGATGCATGAACCTATCTTTTACATCATACGCTAAGGAAAAATCTGATTCCTTGTCCAGATTTAGCTACTTAAGGTCTTTTTTACTTTATCAGCTCTTCAACATTTGTCTTAGGTTTTTGATTTTTAAATAGTTTGGCCTGGAGCAAAACTGACGAGATATTTATTGTAGAGATCCTCATCCGGTGCATTAAATATGGTACCGTTAGTGTTATAACTATTTATGTCAGTATTTTATATTAGTTAATCATTGTTTTGCATATCGTTATGCAAATTCATTTCAACTATGATCATTAACAAAATTAATTCGTAGGTGAAAAGACCTTCAACTGTTTTCTGAACAATTTGTTCTTAATTTTTTTTTTAATTCTTTTTCAGGGGCTTTAAGGAAAATTGCATGAAACATATCCCGACATGTTTATTAATGTAAAGGTGAAGAACATACATATAACGGGAAGTTACGGTGACGAATGTGTGTTTATACATACATAGTAAATACATAATGAGGAACCATGCACACTTACACTATGAAAAAAGACCATTAATTATTTGACTAGACATGAACAGTATACCATCATGAGGGGAATATTATTTTACAAAAATGTCCAATTGCGTCATCAAATGCTTCAAAAGGTCAAATTAAGGATGTTGTCATTATTTATTTTTTATATTAAATTTTACGTTATTTTGTTCGATGTGCAATCTTCCTTAGCCAATATCAAATATATATATATAAAATATTAAAGAACAAAAAGGAGAAACACGTGAGTTCATTTTTAATAACAAGTGAATGAATTTCATTGAAATGTAAAAATATGTTTTGTCTTTTAATTTATGTGAAAATGTTATATTAGTATACTTTAAGTTGACGATTTACTTATTTTAGTGACTTTTAAAGTTGTGGTTGACAATCTTGTAAGACATGTACGTTCTTAGTGTATTTACCATACATGTGGTATAAAAAAACCACTTGTTTTGGGGAGAAAATCTGCCGACTCAAGATCCTGCATCCAATCCTGAATTTTAGTGAATAGATTTTTTAATCCGAATAGTATTTCCTTTCAGAAAATGAAGTACATTGTTTTTATTGTCGTGTTTGTTGTGATAGTATTGTTTGGTGTAAATGGACAATCAGGTCGTGGTGGAATAGGTGGTTCTCCTGGACAACCTGGACAACCTGGAGAACCTGGAAAACCTGGATGGGACTTTGAACCAATTGATTATCGTGGAGGAGGATGTACGGGAGAACCTGGTAGCCCTGGTGGTATAGGAGGGACGGGAGGGAGAGGAGGAAGAGGTTGTTAAAAGAGTACGTGTGTTTTAAATATATTTATTTTATATAACATGTCAAACTCTTTGTTGATATATGTAATAATGAAAGTGTGAGAAAACAATAGATTTGAATGGCTTTCATTGATAACATAGTAAAATTTGAAAATCAAGTCATACCCTAACCCGGAGTTAGTTTTGTACTTGTAAGCATTGACAGCTTCACAGATATGTATGTATTAAGCTTATTTATACACCTTTTAATATTGTATTTATATTGTTTCATAGATCAAACTTATTCGTTCAGTGTATGTTTACTTGTTTTTGTTTAAATGTCTTTTTGATCGAGTAAAGCCATTTCAATTGATATTTTATAGCGTGTCTTTTTATGTTGTAATGTTACACTACTATCTCAGGTTAGGGTGAAGGTTGGCGCCTGTTAAAACGTTTAAACCCGCTGCATTTTTATGCACCTGTCCTAAGTCAGGAGCCTTTTGTTCAGTGGTTGTCGTTTGTTGGTGTGGTTCATAGGTGTTTCTCGTTTCTCGATTTGTATATAGATTAGACTATTGGTGCTGGATTTTCTCGCTGCATTGAAGACCCATTAGTGGCCTTCGGCTGTTTTCTGCTCTTTGGACGGATTGTTGTCTCTTTGACTCATTCCCCATTTCCATTCTCAATTTTACACTATTGGTTTTCCTGTTTGAATTGTTTTACTCTAGTCATGTTTGGGCTCTTTATAGCTTGCTGTTCGGTTGAGCCAAGGCTCCGTGTTGAAGGCATTACTTTGACTATAATTGTTAACTTTTCATACATTGTGACTTGGATGGAGTTGTCTCATTGGCACTCATACCACATCTTCTTATTTATACTTTATATCATGTCGTAGAGATTTTATTAATGAAGTAATTTCTGAAATTTCTTTTCAGGATTATTGGTGCTCCAACTAGAGGGTTATCAGAAGATGAAAATGTAAACCAAAATAATTCTATCAGAATTTAGTAATAAAAGTATTTTAAATGAATTGATCTGTTCAATGGACGCATCCGCACTACATGTATACATGTACATCAATTTTTTTTGTAGTTTGACTCGAGGTTTTTGAGCAAAATATGGTATTTATTTGTAATATCTGGAATATTGAATAACATTAAAAAATGACAATTCAAATACATATGTAATCTTTCAACCACATTTCCAAAAGTAGATGCCTCTTTTCGAAGTTTGACGAAGTCGTATCACAATATCTGTTTTAACAACCTGGTCTATTTAGTTAGTGCGGGAGTAAATGATTTTGCATTTATGAAATACATTCTTTACCGCTAAAGAAGTATTGCCAATGATCATTGGTCCTTAAATAGCCAATGATCATTGGTCCTTAAATAGCCAATCATTAGCCAATCGTTATCGATGTTTTGTCATTTGCCTTTACATTGTTTCCCTTATTCATTTCAATAATATCCTTTCAACAGCATACACTTATACTTATTATATCAGAGTTGCTTAGCGCCTGTCCAACCTCTGTATTAATTATTGTTGTCCCCGCAGACAAAATCTAAACAATTTCGTTTTTGTTAGTAAATTAATTGCATGGTAAAGAAATTTAGCATTGACAATTTACGTGGAAACCTGTGGTATACTCCAACGACACTTTCTAAAGAGCAAATCCTGAAAAATCATAGGTCCTGTTTAATATTCGTTTTGAATTTCAACCCAAGGTGGAGAATTGGGCCTTCTTCTTAAAATACGTGCCAATAATTACATACGTGTTCATACAATCAACGTTATATAGCTGCGTCTGCCAAATGCTAAACAGCTGCGTCTGCCAAATGCTAAACGATACCTCTTTACATCTTCTTTAGAAGTAATCAAAATCGGGCTTCAAAGTTTCTGTACTTATCTAGGACCGGTACGATTAAGAGAGGCGAAAGATACCAAAGGGATATTCAAACTCATAAGTCAAAAATAAACTGACAACGCTATGGCTAAAAAAAAAAAAAGCCCAACAGTACACAAAACAAAATATAGAAAACTAAAGACTGAGCAATACGAACCCCACCAAAAACTGAGGATGATCTCAGGTGCTCCGGAAGGGTAAGCAGATCCTGCTCAGCTCATGTAAGTACAAACCCGGTAATAAGTCTGAATTCGGTAGGTCACATTCAGGAAAAGGGGGACGGGATTGTAGTTACGACAATTGGAACATATCCGCTATCATCTGTGAAACGGATATTCAATAACGGTCAACCAACTCGTGATGGCGTCCGAAAAATTTACGAAGGGATGAATTCAACTTCACCACTTGGAACTCTTGGTTTAATAGCTTCCTTGTGAGCAGTAACCCTCTATCAAGGAAATCATGATAGGAAATACAAGCCCTGGAATATTGTATCAACAGGGAAATATATACTCCGTATGCAGGCGCTGCTGGAATGTTGCTATATAGAAATGGAAATTTCACAATTGGGAAGCTGAAATCATTCCTTCTGTCGTAAAGTTTTGTTTTCAACCGGCCCTCATTAAGATTAGAATATAAAAAAATCAGAAGTTATGTAATTTTTATAGACATTTTTCCTGTTTGAATGGTTTTACATTAGTCATTTTCGGGGCCCTTTATAGCATGCTGTTCGGTGTGAGCCAATGCTCCGTGTATAAGGCCGTACTTTGACCTATAATGATTTACTTAAACAAATTGTGACTTGGATGGAGAGTTGTCTCATTGGCACTCATAGCACATCTTCTTATATCTATTTTATAATCAGTAAATAAAGAAATGAACATATGAATGATATTTCACTCAAAATAAGGAAATGTGGTATGATTACTAATGAGACAACTATTTAACATAGTCCTCACAACACAAAAGTGCTGACTACTATGGTGGTGATGCCATCGGAGATGAAACTTCACTAGCAGAGGTATTAACCAAGTGGCTATAAAAACTCACAAATGAAACAAGTGGTAATATTTGGTATGCGTTTCGTCTACATAGGACTCATCAATGGCTCTTAAATCAAAATAGTTTGAAGACAAAATCAAATACCAAGTTTAAGAGCATTAAAAACCGAAAATTCTAAAACATTCAGCTTTATACGACTACGGCAATATATATCTAGAATAGAAAAGCATTAATATTTCGAATACTTCAACATTTTCTATATAGTAAATTCACAATTCTAATATGACGTGCTTCTTTCGCTTTGTAAACAACACCGTGATAAAATTCTCGATATATCTATACTTAGCGCAGACTCAGTGATATACATAATAACGGATGTTACAATATACCTCCCACGTAAATCCACATGTATTGGAACCTATTTGCAAAGCTTTGCCGATTTTTTTGTTTTAAAAATTGCAACTGAAAAAAGACTACAGAACTTTTATTCTTATTCGGATGCATAACAAAAAGAATTAATGCACAAGAGCTCGGAGAAATCTACAAAATCAAAATAAAATAAAATTCCACGAAAGTCCATTAATGCTTTTGCCGCATTTAAGTCATTTCAAAACATGACGTCATACAAAAGAAAACGCTAAAGCTGAAGGTTTTTCCGTTACGTGAACCATCGAAATTCGTATAATATTACATTAAAATGAATTTTTGAGGTAGGTGTTGTTTTATTTTCCATTTTATTGCATTATTCGCATATTTACTGATTTCAGCAAGTCAACATGGCGGCTCCTTTGTTACGAAACGTCAACTTTGGGTTTGACGGTAGCTTACGAGAAAAACATGTAAATTAAAAATGACAAATGTTTGGTTTGAGAATTAAAAGAATTAAGCACATTTTTTCTAGCGGTTGTTTACGAAATAATTCATGCAAGCTACAGATTTATTAGAATGTTTTAGCTTTATCTAACAGGGAGCAAAAAAGAACAGCCACACACACGGCATACCCACCCTCGCTTCAGTTTTTTAATGACCGTATTTGACCTATTAGAATCGAAATAATTCATGGAAGCCATAGATTTGTTGGAAATTTACACATGGCCTGGGCCGTGATATTCGAATTTTATCCTGAGCGTTATTTCTTAAATAACAAATAAATGATATTTCATGTCAACATAAAAGTGCTGACTACTGGGCTGGTGACACACTCTGAAAAAAACCCGTCCACCAACAGTGACATCAACCGAGTGGTTATAAAAATTCACAAATTATACCAAGTTTATAATTTGATGTGTTTCACGACATCAGTGACGGTGGAATAAAAACAGTTGGAAGGTCAAATCAAATGTGAAGTTGAGCATTAAAATCCTTAAAATCGCAAAAGTTTTGCCTAATACTACTAAGGTAATCTATGCCAAGAGTCTAAAAACCATATTGTTTCGAATATTTAACATTTTATATACAGTAAATGTACAGAAAATGAACATTTCAAAGATAGGCTGGCGAAACTCTGGAGGACGGAACTTCTTTTAGCATTGTCATCGACCCAGTGGTTGTAAAATCTTATCAATGATTACGTCAGGGATTCGGGCATCACAAATTACTTGAAACTTTTACTTAATTCTTTTATAGCTACAAAAGTTTGGATGCACCTTTAGAATTCTTGTTACAAAAGGGACATCACATCATAATGTTTGCGGTATTTTTTTTAAGCATGTTAATTTACATACGATCCATGTAAGCTCATTGGTTATTTGAATAATCATATTTTTAAAGGATATCAATTTACCACCGTAGTAAAATCTTTGGAAATTGTTTTATCGGTACTGTTATTGATTTTGATTTTGATAAATTAAAACACTACTAGAAACGTTATGCTATACAGTTATGAAAACTTGTGGCCCTACGTCCTATTTGATATGATTTATTCATATTTTGGCTTTTCACAATGTTAAGCTTTTCACAGATTGTTTATGAAGTCTTTACAGTAAATCAGTAGGAAGTGTACTGATTGATAGTTTAGTCTGAGAAACATGATTTAAACATTAGTTGTTATCGGTTTTGCACTAATTACAGTAACTGCAATTATCTCAGATAAATACTTCCGTTTTTTTTTCTTTATATTATCTGTGTTCGCGCTTCGTGCCAATCTGATGAGACGAGCCATTTTTAGCTGACATCAGCACCACTGTCCAAGGCAAGGTGAGAGTGGAGCGCTCACAAACAGTTGTTTCAACATTTCCTTGACGTATTTATGAACAATAATACTACAACAGTGTTAACAAATATGACTGACAACGACGAACGACAAACACCATATATTTAATAGTATTTCAAGTTACCTAAATTTTTGCGATCAAACTAGTTACCAAGCTGAGAATAATTCAATGAGAGGTCATCATATCTATAGGTGACTTTAAAGAATAATGCTAGCTACTTTTTATTTTTCTTGACAAGGACCAGTATGAATTTTGCCTCGTACATTTGTTCAACTAAAGGAACGAATAGACAATTAGAGGAGCGGATTAGCTGAATATACATTATTTAAAATCTGTAGTTTCTTGTCTAATAAGAATTTTCTATTCCGAGCGATCTAAATAGACTCATCACAGAGACAAGGCTTCAGACGCGCGTTTCATCTACATAACCTAATTAGTGACGCTCGAATCAAAAAAGTCAAAAAGCCGAAAAAAGTACGAAGTTGATGAGCATTAAGGACCCTTTAAGTTAAGTCTTAGGCCAATAAACTATTGGAATTTTTTTTTCTCACTTAGACAGAAAAACTTTATATGTATTCTGTACGAAAGCAAAATAGTTTCTGGATTTTGAACACGTCACGTATTGACATTTTTTTAAATAAATAATTCTTTTAGAAGTTACATGCACGTTGTTACATGAAAGTTCACGAACTTATATAGCTATAGACTTTAAAAGACTAATGTTTTATAAATGGGAAAGTTGAAGCAATTTATTTAGTAACTATTAAGTTAAAACTATTTATTGACCGACAAATCTTCAATCAGGTAAATCTTTACTATATTTATTTGTGTATCAGTATTTGTATGTACAAATTTAAGATTGGTGTTCACATGTAAGTTTTTTTTTAATGGATTTTGCATATTTAGTTCGGA